TAACCACACGATATTACTAGCAGTACGTTGTTTCATTTTATTTATTTCTTTAACAGATATGAAATACCAGCTTTCAGAGGACAAAAAGACTCTTCATACATGTACTTACAACTTAAAATCAGACGATTACGGTTGTTACACATGTGTGAAAGAAAATAGTGAAGGAATTGCAGTAACAAATTTTTTACTCCCTTATGGTAATATTACAAACTGACAGACAGAGGGACAGATAGTTTCACCGACAGGGATTATTTGTGAAAAGAAATATCGTTACACCGTCCTCTCTTTTTAAGGTAATCCGATCCTCAGGTTTATAAAATTAGCAGTTAAGTAATCAAAAATACTCATAAAAGTATCTCTGAATCCACAAAGTTACGTAAATTAGTCTACAGTATTTCTTCAAAGTTAAAGATTACAGTTAATCATATTATATAGGGAAAATTGCCAAATCTCCAATATTTTTGCAGAAAAAGCGAATTGGAATATCTGCAATGCATTTTCTGATTGCAAATTCATCAACAATTATATTTTAGGTTTAAAAACGATAGGTATCCAGACATTCGGACAAATCGTCATGATTTTTATACTTATTTGGTTTTTTTGTCTGTTATTTCCGTTAAATATTCTATAGTACATAGTGTAAAAGGCCTTTGCTACATGTATCATTGCAAGACACCAAAAATCACTTCGTATTTCATAACATATGCTAATAAGCATTGGTATCTAAGCCTGGATTCAAGAAAATCTTATTTCTCAAGAACTGTATTGTTTTTCCCCTTTTATAGGGTACAAATATCAACTTTTATAAGACCTTTTCTAAGACTTCCAAAAAAGAAAATTGAAGCTTATATAGATGTATAAAATGAAAATTGTTGCATGAAAAAAGTCATTTTCAAGCTTCATTTTAATGCATTTCAAATTTAATATTGATTTTTGGAGTTATCCTTCCTGGCTGAGGATCGGATATCCTTAATTTTCGACCCTTCTGTAACTAGTAAATAATGCGTATGAACATATAAAACATTAAATTTTTTAACGAAAAGCGTCTTTTCTGAGTTTTTCATTCCTTTCCATGAACTTGTGATAACTTTCAAATTTACGATAGATGTATACATGTAGGTCTACAGAGACAGTGGAAATTTAATGTGAGAATTTGTTAACATGGTATTATTTTTCTGTTCATTTGGACACAAATGACACTGTAATACAACAGAAGAGGATTTTTATGAATTCCATACGAGAGATACTACGGACACGTCGGAATTTTCAACAGACAACAGGCAAAAAGTCACTTGTAAAGTTTTTAAAATTTTTATTTTACCATTTATACACATTAAGAAGTAAAATATCAGATATTAAAAGACTAGTTTGAGTCAATATCATTACATCATTGCAATGCCAGGGGTACTGAATCAACGCGTTGCCATTCTATGACAAACAATTTGTAACACGTACATCTGAGGTGTCAATTGAATCCGGTTTTTTTTTTTGTTAACATTATTTAACTCTTTATGAAAGCATTAATTTGACTGGTGCTGTTCAATGAGAGAATAAAACATATGGAGATAACGAACAGTATTCAAGTCCAAAGGGCAATAAAACAATTCAAAATACTAGTAGTAGCAGAGCAAACACGGACCTCCGAAACATCAGAGGTGGGATCAGGTGCCATGGAGGAGTGAGCATCCAATGCCAACCGGTCACACCCGCAGTGTGCTCCTTGTCAGCAAGGCCTAAAGTCTCTAATGTAAATAATATACAATGGGTCCAACGACAACGTGTTGAGACAAGACCACAGGCATTGCGAGGATGAAATCGGTATTTACTGCAAGGTTTTCTAGGTCTTCTTGGGAGACATTGGTAAAGAATATCAGTTTTATAAAGATAAAATATGCAAAGTAAAGCAAGTAAATATTAATAAATCAAATTCATATTTTTAAGCTGATGACGATTTACGATTGCCAATCATCATCACATTCTGCGTTGTTTGATTTCTTTTGATCATTATGATATTTGCTTGTTTCATTACAAGGTAAAGTGAATCATGTAAAAAAAAAAAAATAAAAATATGAAATATTTTCGTTAAACTTTCAATAATGTATATATTAACTCTTAACTACAATAGCATTTCTTTTCAAAATGCATCATTGTAGAGTATGTAAAAGAAAACGAAATCAAGAAAAAGTTCCACTACAGAGGAAATTGTTATAATTACCTCAGATCTTTATTCTGAACCGATTCCTGCATCGGGTGAAAGTAAAATGAAAACAAAGGTTCACATCACTGCTGAAGACGAATCAGCCTATTCTGTAGCTGATACCAATGATAATGAGTACTCACAACCCCTCGTCAACAGAGACAATCGAACGGGACAGGTGCCTTCTGCAAATGATGTTACCATCTCAGACAGTGAATATACTGATGCAGATTTTGGGTGAATATGATGTTTTAAGAGGACAGCGAAAGAAACACTCAGAAAATACATCATCGAATTGTGATATTTATGACAGGACAAATAATGTCGTCACTGGTATTTATGACGTCACTTCGAACACGCTGAACGAGAACGAATACACAATGACAGATAACGAGTCAAATCAATAAAGCATGATTATATAAACAAATTTCCAAAAATTAATATATAAAATATATATAAGTTTGATTTTTCATTAGGTATTGAATAAAATTCATATATTTGTAATTACTATAATTGAGATGGAGATTATCCTTACTTGAAAATAAGAAATTTTTTTAGTACTTTTCTTTTCCAAAAACTTTTATCATTATATTAACAGTGCAGTTTGATTAAAAATCATTAATTAGTAATAATTGCTAGAGTTATCATTTACAAGTTATTTTTTGTCATTTCACTTACTTTAAACTAATGATTCTCTTACGCACTGTCGTATTCTTTCTCTATGAGATTTTCAAAATCTGTTTTACATCAATATTTCTTCATTTTAATTTCGATCTTATCATGAATTGAAATGATTTGGTTAACAATACATTATTTATCTCTTGGATTCTTGATGACCGTGAATCCATTGAACATTACGTAATTTTCTCTCTTTTCAATGCATACTCATGAAATGCGTCATTTTTGCCATTTCCTGTAAATTCCTTTAAGAATAAGCGAATGTTTTCTTTCAACATTTCATGTAGAGAACACTCTCTGAGCCAAAGTATGCAATTATATATCAAAAGCCCTGTCTTTAAAGATCACAAAACATATTTCAATTTTTAGATCGAGGTCTATGCCCATATTTTATGAAATGGGACAAAGGGTGATAATTAATTTCAAAATTGATATAAGAACAGGATGAACCTTGCTCTTAATAATCATAAACATTTTCTACCTCCAGTTAAAGCTTTAAATTTCTTTCAATAATAATGGGACTATCATTTCTAATGAAAAACAACAAACAGTATTGAAGATAAAAAAAAGTTAAGTTCTTCTGCCTCTTCACTTGAGATCTTGCAATTATAATTCTATAGTATCAACTTCTTAAAAATAATTATTTTCAAATACTTTAATTCTCATTAAAAGTCAGTGCTTTTAAATGAACACTGTATAGCTTTTTTATTTGCTTTAAAAAGCATTTGACCAGAAATCAATGTGTTAAGCTGTGGCTATTTTTGTTTAGCCTCTATTCAGCTGAAAAAAAATTCACTCCTATCATTCTTTTACCGTTCTAGACGGCATTTGTAAAGGAAAACATCAATACAACAATATGGGGTATCTATAAAAGAAATAAAAAAAATACGGGGGGGGGGCATTTGCCTGCAAAACGATTGATTAAAAAAATCAATAAATTCATTTTTCAAAATTTTCACTTTTTGTTGAACTTACAAATTTGACAAAGCCTGAATACTGTTACAGCGAAAATGATTCTGATTAACTCAACAAAATGGCATCACACTAAATTTTCATAAGAAAACTCACATAAATTGACAAAACTATATTTTTTTTAAATAGAGGTGGGTCATTGTACCGTTTTTTGAGAAAGGTTAATGAAAGGCAATTGAAAGATGTTTCTTTTTACCCTTGCAAGACTTTGGTATGGAGACCACTCCGCACAAAAAGGTTAGTTTACTTTCTAGACTTTTCACTGTGGTTAATAAAAGTTCTCTCCAAATACGCTTGCTAAAAGTAGAAAAATGGTTGCTTTTTAATGCGTGGTAAAGTGGTTAGTGAGGAATCCTTTCATGGTATGTCTATTGAGGAAAGTATTCGAGTCATGCTCGGACTTTTTGTTTTTGTTTTAATTTTGTTTTACTTTATAAAATGTTTTAATGAATAACACTTTTTTCACTGGAAATAAAATATATGTATGCAGTAATTAACTCGGTCATTTACCATTTACAGTAAATTATTTAAAATTCCGGATATTGAAATTATGGAATACATTTACACTGTTTTCCCGTTTATATTTTACTACAACGCTTCTAGATCACCATTATCATTATAAATATATGTAGACATTTTTATAAAATTTACATAAGACAAAAGTGTTAACGTTCATATATGCAGATTAAAGGTCCCTAGCAAAGTTAGACACTTTTGACAGTAAATGAAAGTCAATTGTTTAGCCTGTCTAGAATTGATATAATTATCATTTTGAAAACAACTGTAAACATTGAAATGCCCAGGTAATTCGAATAATTGAAGATTTCCCCCCTAATTTTAAAAACGTCTTGCATAACCAAAAATGGGCATGGGCACTTGACTCTTCTTATCCCCCAGTATTCTTGGTAAAAAATCAGTAATAAACTTCTACAAACTTCTTTAACAATGAAATAACGACGTTGCACAAGTTCCACTCAAAATACAAACTAGTGTAAAATTAAGTAAATCATATTTCGTTTAAAAATCAAAATGCCTTTCCTGCCACCGTCTACAATCTTTCTACATGTACAGGAAGCACAGTCCTAAAAAGATTAGGAAAGAGTTGGTGTAGTTAAACTTGACACATAGTCTAATACAGATAGTACGAAAGGAGGTATCCCTCAATTCACCGAAATCTACTTAAAATTAAACATGTATCCCACTTGAAGAAAATGCAACCGTGGTAAGAAAAGCTAAATAAATGGAAGGTATATGCCCTTTTCATTTATTTGATTTTCTTATAGATGTTTTGAGACCGATCATCGTATCTTATCTCCAGCCATCCTTCAGCCTTTTCACTGGACCCATTTATGACATAATGTAACTTGCTAAATAAAACCCCATTTTATTCCTGCTAAATTTGGTATAAGAAATCTGAACAATGTGGTTAGTTACTTTATACATGTATACTATGAGCTCATTAAAATTCGTGGGGACTAATTTTGGTGGATAGATATAATCTCCCACAGGTTCATGGAGACGTAACTTCTTGATGTCTCATGCCTGCAAAAAATAAGACGTAACCCTAGTTTACTATTTCGCAGAGGATTTTCATTCGTGTATGATAGGTAACCACAAAGTCTGCGAAAATTGAGCCACCACGAAATATTATGATTCCACGGCAAATTCGAGTTGAAACTTTCACGAATTTTACAAGGAAGATACTACAGTAAAACTCGGTTATAGCGAAGTCCTGGGGACCTGTGAATTTAATTCGCTATATCCGTAATTCGTTATATCCGTATAATGAATTCGTATAACCATTATAGCGAATTCGCAATATGCATGTTTTTCCTTCAGGTATTACTACCAAATGTGTTAGGGAAGCAAATATTTCAAAACATATCTTTGATAACTAGGGTTTTACTATGAATTGAATTTTATATACAAATGCTAAAAGGAAATAAAGTTAGTTCAAATTTTTTTTATAATCTTGGAAAGTTCGTTATAAAAGATGTAAATTTCATTATATTTAACCTCAACGGGACTCAAAATCAGTTCGCTATATCCGTAAATTCGTTATATCAGAGTTCGTTATAACCGTTAAATTTTACAAAGATTTGTTAAGAATTTTGCCGGGGACCCAGAAAAACTTCGCTATATCCGTGAATTCGCTATATCCGTGTTCGTACTAAACGGGTTTTACTGTAGTAATGAGTCAGTCTATACTCGTAACTATCAATTTCCTAAAGAGCGATTTTTTAGTATATAACTAGCAATTTCCTAAAGAGCACTTCTTCCGCAAAATCTGTTCACAGTTTTCACAACTTTGTTCCCTATTCTATTTATTGTCCATATATTTAGCACAGATGACAAGAAACGACTTAGAGATGTCAATGTTATACCTTAGTCTTTCTGATCAAAGTACAGTATTTGAGGATTCAAGATGGAGAGCCTTGTGATCTGCCTCATTTTCCTTTGTGTCAGAGGTGAAGCCCTATACTGCAAAGGTAAAAATTATTTTCTTCGTGTTATAAAAACTTATTCTGATTGAAAAGTTAAACAAAAAATAATATTCTGATTTTTAGGAGCAGAACTTCTTAATTTGCCTCCTGTTATAACATCAGAGTTTGAACGGGAGTATTTTGTACCGATCATTCCTTCTACCCTATTATCCTTGTTTTGCCAAGCCAAATACAACGTACTCAGGTTAGTATCAGTTTATTATACCTTTGCAGTAGTAAAATGACGATGATAAGGAAAAGCTAAATACTATGAAATCACAGGTTTTTCGTTGGGATTAAATTTTCGTTGTATTCAAGCCATAAAGAGATCCGCGAATCTATGAAAATTTTACCCCACGAAAATACGTGATTTTACAGTAATTATTATGTCAAATAGAATACGATGATCTCAGTGTTTTATACCTAATACATTTAAATAGGTATCAGTGGTATAAGAATTATTCAAAGATCACGGAAAATGACCGAGTTTTCTTCAACCCGTCAACTGGTGAAATCGACTTCAAAAATCTAGAAAAAGAGGACTTTGATGTTTATTATTGCACGGCCGAAAATAAGTTTGGAATTTCAGTCTCACTGTTTTTCAAATTATCTGAAGCAGGTAAAGCGATAATTATTATTTTTAAACATGATGTCAGACCGAGAAATGATAAATGATAAATGAAAGATAATTTCAGATCATCTGTAAACTTCAATGTATATAAATAATCTATCTGTAATGTTCTGGACATTTTGAATACCATATCAGTAGCACTAAGTATTATTTTATAGTAAAATATTACCTCATTTATTTAACTATTCCAAGATATAGTATTAGTCTATATACTTGTCAAAATCATAACACAATGATATTTAAAAGTTCAATGTGTTTTTCACTGTTTAATGGTTGAGATTATTGATTTTACAAAGGTATTTCATACAGTTTAAATATTCAAAAGTGACCACCAAAATAACAAAGAGATATAATTTCTAATCTTTTGGTAGTGTTTTCGATGAAACGGAAGATTTATTTTTCAAATCATTCGATGAAAAGTCTAAAACTTTATCATAAAATATTTCCTGTTTCTATTTCTGTGCTGCGTTTGATATATGAGCCTCGTCGGATAGAAATCGACCTTATCGTATGCAACGTCATAATGAGAAATAAACGAATAAAGTTAAGAAAGATTTCCCGGTATTTTTACTACACATGGTTTTCACGTTAAGGAATGTTTTAGACATCGTCAACTGCAGTTCTCAGATTTGTTCTTTAAAAAATCGGATCATTTTAAATTTGTACTAATAAAATAAGCAAATTTTAAATGTATTTCCCTTCGTAGAGCCTTAACCTTTTTATTGTTACCATGGATCAATGTAAACAAAGGCCAGAGGAATGCCGAGTCCGATCTACATTTATTTTTTTTTCAACCAGCAGAAGACGCGAGGTTTTATCTAACACCAGATTAAGGGGGGACCTATGTCCGAAAAGTCTTTGTGTGAAATTTTCAAAACTTTGACATTTCTTACCTGACCACTTGATCTTAATTTTTAGGTATTAAAAACAATACCTTTATATGCTTATTTTTACACAGGAGCACGTGCAAAAACAGTGTGAAATGCTAAAAATAGATTATTTTCAGACATTATTGTTCTACTCCAAATATGCGCTAAAAAGAACCAAAAATGTCAAATCACATTCGAAATCAACATGTATTTAATATATATGACTTGTATCTTTAAAATGAAGGCAAATTCATTGTAATTCATCTCGCATGAAAAATTATACAGGAGCACAATGTAAGTATCACCCCGTTTTTCTTGTCGTATTTTTTACAATTCCGACATACATAACAGGTAATATCTTAAAAAGTCTTTGTGTGAAAATGTAATAATTCATATTTTTTGAAAGAAATGACCCCTCTCTTTATTTTAACAAGGAAAAAAGTATACCTTTATGATAAAATAAACGAGAAATATAACGTTTTCTTTTATTTTCGTACTCTTTTGTCATAAATATTGACCTTTCTGCACTAAAAAAGAGGTAAGTTAGCACTGACAAACATCTGAATATAAAACTATTTTGCAAAAAACGAGTATTTTGTTTTGATAAGAAATAATTTAAACAGATATACTCTTTTTTTTCTTCATTCTAATCATTTTGGCCCCCCCTTCCCCGTCAACAACCAACACCTAATAGGAATGACTTTATACAATAAAATCTACATACACTATAAATCAATAAGTAAATATAGGTACAAGTACATTTCTTTATTTTTCTTAGTTTTATCCAGAAAATACAATTAACGGTAATCATAAAATTAAACATATTTCCCTAATTTAAGCCGCTGTCTTTGCTGAATTTTATCTTATATTTTTTGCATTTTTATATCAGCATATCATAGAGGTATTTCTTCACAACTGAAATTGCTATGAATTATCAACCAAAGGAAGAGAATTCTTATATTAACAAACTCCATAAATCAAATAAAACTGTTTTAAATGATGAAAAAAATTTCTTTTTGTAAAATGTGTACGTTTTTGATTAATAACAATGTTATGCCTATAATCACAGTTGCAAAAGTCAGCGGGAAAAAAACAAACGTCGCTATTGTGACGTCACATAACGCTGCTTTGACGTCGAACGACATAGGTCCCCCCTTAAGATTAAGTTGGTAGACATATAGCAAAGCAAAATTGGCATGGTGAATTACTTAGGAAGAACAGAATATATCTTTTATTGTAGTTTAGAGTATAAATTTTAGCCAAAGGAGGCGTATCTGGCACAGAAAATCACACATGTATTAATTGATGAAGTACTAGTGTGTGAACTTCATTTACTATCATCGTGTGTATTCATTCATTCAAGATTAATATATTCACAATATTATATTAGATATACTATAATGTTTCATGTCTTCGAATGAATTTACGTGTAAAAATAATGTCAAATTTATATAGGAATTAACCAACCAAAACAAAAACAACATTAGGCCATTCCCAGTACAAGATGTACAAAGGCCACGATTCATCAACTTTCAAAACGCATTTTTCTAACATTAATATTCAAAGATATCAGGAAACAAGTAATACTAGTACTGTGTAAGGCAATATCTTTATATATCAGTAAGTCTCAAACGGAAACACGTAGACTGACTTATCTGAGAAGTGTGCATTGTCCGAAGCAACTGGATTTGATAAATTGTGCAAGTTGCTTCCCTTTGACGCAAAAAGAGGCTCAACACGGGGGAATCATTTCTTTAAAAAAAAATTTTTTGTTCTCTATCTTTTGTCTTTTTTTTCATTACTTACAGTTTATCAGTTTATTTTCTTAAATACTCCACTCCTTATTTTGTAAGTTTATAAAATATACTGACGATGGATTATCTATGATTTTAAATTTCTTTAACTTGGCTAGCGAAATTGTTCAAAGAGGGGTGTTCATCTTGACCTTGTAGGGAGAGGGCTACAATAGGCTTTGCCTGCTGCCCGATCCTATTCACTTTGTGTGAATAAAATTTTGTATAAATATAAAAAAAAAAAAAAAGAATGGGCCCGGTTTGTGAAACATTTCCTTCTACGCCATTAATATTTAAAAGAATTGTAAATCAAAAAATTAAAGTTGCATGTAAAAAAAAAAACAATAGCTTTGTGAAATGTGTTCCTAAATATTCACCATAAAGTTAAGTATTTTGAGCCCCGTTATACCAAACTTTTCTGCAAAAAACACCTTGACATGAGCAGGATTTCACA